AAATGCTTCCTAAGGGAGCTAAAGCTCTTTGAAGATGGCGGCTAGTAACTAGTTTTTTTAAATACCTCTAGAACACTTCTAGTTAGACAAATGAAAACTGATACGATTATTTCTCATCTACATTTTAATGGATTCCATTAATTGCGAATTTCTACTACTCGTCATAGGTGTCCGTTTTGGGTAGCTCAATGGTATATTAAGCATTTGTAATAGTGGATTATTAATTTTTTGGGTATTTTAGTACTAAAAGATACTTTTACTGTTAAGTCGGTAGGATACATCGTTTTCTAGAAAAATCGATTTGAAATTTTTTGTTTTTTCGTCATAAAAGTTAATTAATAGGTGACCTAATTAATTTTATGAATTATCTTTTGTTTCAATAAATGTGGCATACAATTCGTAAAAAAGTTTGAGAAAAGAAGCAAAAAATTAATTGAAACAAAATTTTATTTAAAGCGTTTTAAAAACAAAGTATTTATTACATGGAAAAAACTAACACAAATCACAAGTATCAAAAGTAGATAGTTACAAAACATGCTCGATATTAATGACCGTTAGTCACTATGCATTAATTTGCCCTTTTGCTTAGAGAACGCCGAATTCTGCACAAAATTTTAAAAGTTATTTCTAAATTCGTTGCAAGCCTCTTGTATCCTTAGCTAGAGTTATGCACGATTTTGTATCGGAATGGAATTAACAAATACTTTTATGTATTCCCAAATACAATAATCGCAACGATTAAAATCCGGCGACCTTGCTGAGCAATCAACTGGACCGCCTCGTCCAATCCAGTGGTCTTCGTAGTTATTGTCAAGAATGTCTTGTACATTTCTGCTAAAGTAGGCCGGACAGCCGTCATATAAAAACCATAAGGTTTGGCGAATATTTAAAGGCACATCATCTAACGAATCAGGTAAAACATTTTTCAGGAAATGTAGGTAATCAGCACCATTTAAACGACTAGGCAATTCCACAGGCCAAAGATAATCGTTAACTACTCCTATCCAGACGTTTATGCTAAACCTATGCTGATGCTTTAATAAGCAGAATGATAAAAAAAATAAGAGAAAATAACAAGAAATAAAAATAGAAGAAGTAATACAAAACAACAAAAATATGAAATGCTTAAGGCCGAAATTAGTTAAGTTTGAAATAAACAAAATAAACGATGTAAGCTGAGTAGAAATAAACATTAAATATGACATCATAAATATAATCCACTATTTCTACTTAGAATTATATAAAACAAAAAAGAAACCACCAGAAGAAATTAAAAACCAACTTAAGGCTATAATAAAAAATGTCAATTCAGATCTACAGCCAAAAATAAGCAAATCAGAAATAAGGAATGCATTGAAAGAAATGAAAAACAACAAATCGCCTTTAAAAAGATGGAATAATTGCAGAGGTGTTAAAATATGGTGGAAAAGTAAATTAATACTCTACATTCTCTTCTTAACCAGATATTTAATAAAAGAACAAAGAATCCCAAACAACTGTAAGGAATCCGTAACCATTATCCTACACAAGAAAGGAGATAAAGCAGATATAAAAAACTACCATTCTATAACACTCCTCGATGTAATGTATAAACTTCCAATAAAATTGTAACCAATAGATTGACGACAAAATTTGACGGATACCAGTCGAAAGAACAAGCTGGTTTTGGAAAGGGATTCAACACAAGTGGCCATTTACTAATCATGAAAATACTTAGCAAATGAATACCACATTCCCATATATATGGCGTTCATATACTTTCGAAAAGGCTTTCGACAGTGTTCAACATTGGGCAGTGAAAAGTTCTTTGATTAACAGCAGAATTGACCATAGATATACGGAACTAATAGCCAAAATATATAAGGAAGCCAAAACAACAGTTAAAGTGTATGAAGGAACAAAATCAATACAAATAAATAGAGACGTGAGACAGAGTGACACAATATCACCGAAACTTCTTAATCAGGCTCTGGAAGATATTTTTAAAGAAGATTATAATGAGAAGAAAAAAGTATAAAAGATTGTGGATAATGCTTAATAGAACGCTTAATAATAAAACAACTGGGCGTAGAAGCTGGAAAGATAGGCCTTAATATGAATAACAGCGAGACCAAAGACATCACAATGAGAATCGGACAAGATGAAATAGAACAAGTTCAGGATTATATATATATATATATATATATATATATATATATATATATATATATATATATATATATATTTGGATCAAACTATAAAACTTAACAAAAAAACCAACTAGCAGAGATAAAAAGACGAGTTAGACTGGAATGGGCGGCATTTGGCAAACTAAGCTACATTCTTAAAAACTAAATATATCCACAGCATCTTAAGACCAAAGTATACAATCAATGGGTACTCCCTGTTCTTACTTATGGTTTCCAAACGTGGACATTTACAAAAGCAAACATGGACAAAATCATAAAAACTCAAAGAGAATGGAAAAGACAAATGTTGCACATAAGACTAATGATAAAAAGAGAAACGAGTGGATAAGAGAAAAAACAAAAGTGAGGGATGTTAGATAAGAAGTTGCAAAATTGAAATGAAGATTTGCCGGATACAATATAAGACAAAAAAAGAAGACCGATGGAACAAATCTTATATGGAGACCGTGGTAATATAAACGAAGCAGAGGAAGGCCCTAAATGAGATGGGCAGATGATATTAAGAAACACGTGGGCTCTAGGTGAATGACTGTAGCGACAGACACAGAAGAATGAAAAAATAATGGGGTAGGCCTATGTCCAAACATGGACCAAAGAAGGCTAATTAGATACATAGATTCTGATGCTTAAATTCTTGAACTACGTAGGAATTGTCACCAAAATACAAATAATATTATGCATTATGCACATTTAAAATTTCATTTTTTGTGAATGTAGCTTTGCCGGAATCGGCAGTTGTGTATTGCATAAATAGAGGTAGTTAGTTGTTTGTAGCATCGAGTATCTTATTTTATAGGTGTTGATAAGAAAGTATAAGAACAGTCCTAATATATTTTGTTACGCATGTGGTGATTTAACAACAGAAAATCATCAAAGAAACATAACAGACTTTATAAAGAAAGTTTACTTCTATGTATAGCTTTGTGATTAGGACAAACCTTGGGCTTCACACAAAGTGTGCTTTCAGTGTGTCGAACTACTGTGAAAATATACAAAGGTTCATGCAATTCCTTACCCTTCGACATTCCTATGCTATGGAGGGAACCAAAAAACCATGAAGATGACTGTTACTTTTGCTCCTGCGATATCAAAGGTTTTAATTCAAAAAAATAAACACAAAATTCAATATCCTGATTCACCTTCTGCCAAAAGACCTATATCCGATAGATCAGGAATCACCTATTCCTCACCTTTTCTTCACACCATTCAACAGGAATCATCAGATGAAAGTTCAGACGAAAAACTGATGAAGACGAATTCAATCCTGAGATAGGCCAACCTCAAAAATTTATCCAAGCTAAACTAAATCACTTAGTGAGAGACTTGGGCATATCGAATGATGCTGCACAAATCTTAGGATCACGACTGAAAGATAAAAATCTATTGGCTCCACGTACCACATTTTCGTATTACAGACATCGTTAAAAAAGTTCACGGAATATTTTTCTCAAGAAAGTCACTGATGTACTGTCATAATATTCCTGAAGTAGTTATGAAACTGGGAGCTGACAATTACGATTATACATCATGGCAGTTATTTACTGATTCTTCTAAGAGAAGTCTAAAGGGTGTCTTGTTGCACAATGGTAATTCTTATGCCTCAGTGCCTGTTTCTTACTCCGTGCATCTCAAAGAAACACATGAGAATCTTGAGCTGTTGTTAAATAAAATAAGGTATAGCGAATATTGTTGGCAACTGTGTGGAGATCTCAAAATATATAATCCATTCTTTTGAGTCAGTAGTTTGTATTCACAAAGTATCCATTTTTTTTTGCGAGTGGGACAGTCGAGCACGAAATTTACATTCTTTTAAACAAGAGTGGCCACTCGGAAAAAAACTTGTAGTGGGACAAAAATTATATGATACAACTAGATGACATTAGGTAACCCTCTTCACATAAAGTTAGAATGGATGAAGCAGTTTGTCAAAGCTTTAGATAAACAAGGTGACTACTTTAATTATCTGTGCGATAAATTTCATGCACTTTCTAAAGCTACACTTAAAGAAGGACCCTCTTAGGCCCTGAAATTCAAACCTTAAAATCGGATAGATTGTTTCAGAACACAATGACTCAGAATGAATCTAAAGCAAGGAGTTCTTTCGTAAAAGTTATGGACAAAGAAGTCTACAAACTATAAAGAAATTATAGCCAACATGGTCAAAATTTATAAAAAACTGCGATGCAATATGCGCGTCATGCTTCATTTTCTGGATTTCCACGTTGATCTATTTTCCAAAAATTTGGAGCTGTCATCTAGGAGAAAAGAGACAGGTTTCATCAAGATATAAAGAAGATGGAGAGACGTTATCAAGAAAGACTAGATATAAAACAATGGCTGATTACTGCTGGACCTTAAAGAGATACTCGATCACAAAAATCCATAAAAAGAAGACCACAAACTGCAGTTTTCATGGAAAAAGAGAACAGTTTTATTAAAAAAAATTAAATATTGTCTAACGTAGGTTATACTGAATTCTTTTTTTTAAGAACTCAATTCTGCATCGTAATTTTGTATTAAATAAAGTTTCAATAAACATTTTCTTAGCATTTTCGTCAGTTATACACTATAAAATTTTTCAAACACACTTTTCTTGACGTGCTGAATGCCAGCACGTCTGGTTAACAAACCTGACATGCTGGAAAAAAACTATGTACAGATTCTTGATCAGCACATCTCATTTACTATAGGACACCTATAAAACTTAAAACACTTTTTATAAAAAAAAAATGTAGACCTGTGGTATCCATAATTATTGAATCTAAAAATATAACTTACTTTATTATAAATATAAATTATATTTTGTTTTAGCTAAGATATCCAGAATATGTACAAGACACTGATCCTCAAGCAGTTCGTTTGGCTGATATTTTATTTCCCGGTGATGGTTTCCAAAGAAATCTCAGAAGTAACAGTAAAAACCGATACCAAGGAAAACGTGGCAGCAAGTGTTTCTTTAATGCTGTAAGTTGCTTTGGCAAAAAGTAAATTTAAAATGTTCAATAAAAATATGTTTTATGATTATGTTAATTAAATCAAATCAAAATGTATTCAAAAGAATAATAATAAAGTATTTTAAATTTTTATTATTACTACTGATTTATCTACATCCCTGACATACCTTACTAATTTCTTATAGAAGACGATGTTATAAGAACATCGCTTATTCTGTGATGAAATATAACAAACCAAATCAAATTCTGCTGTCAAAAAATTGAGCTAATTAAATTATAATTTACCTATTTAACTTTAAAATTTCGTAAAAACCGTTAAAAGTAAAAAGTAAATTAAATTATTAAATACTCTATATATTTATTATTATTAGGGCGAAACATATTCAAATGAAATTTTCGGTAATTCCAACCTTCAGTGAGGATCAATATTAATACTCCAGTCATCAGCTATTTGACCTGTACTTTGCTAGGAATGTCAATTTTGGGACTCCAAAAAGATGTAAACAATGTTGCTACTCCTAATCCCTTGTTTCACCGTAAAACCCTCCTCGTATGGAGGAGGGAAACAAAAATGTAGACAAAATAATTTTAAAATAGATTATTTTATGACAAGAAAAAGAGATATACGTAAATGTAAGAACTACAAGGTAATAGTCAGTAAAACTTTAAATCTACATAAATATATTAGATATTTAAGTAAGTTTCAGAAACCAAAATATCAAAAAAGACCGTCAAAAAGTAAATAGTAAAAAATTAAAAGTTGGAAAAGACGGTTAATTCAGAGTAAAAATTTAGACTTGTAATCCGCAATTAAAATACTTAAAAATATAAGAGAAGAACTTTGAGAATAAAGGGCTTATCAAATATTGTTTAAGAAAAAATAAAGAAGAGAAAACGATTTAAACGTCATCTACAGAAAATTCATTTTCCTTGTAAGGTAATTAAAATAATGACAAATATATAAATAATATAATGAAATAAAGGCAAACAAAAGTAATACTATCTTACCATCTTACTTTCCTTACTAGTAGTAGTAAGGAAGATAAAGCATTCAACCAGGTAATATATCGAAAAAACTTAAAGATAGACAGAAAATGGTTGGCTAATCTGTTTTTTTTAACAGAGTGCAACGAATGTCGGAGAATGAAGAAGCAGTATATTAGTAGGTCGTTAAAAAATAAAGGAAATGTACAACAACGCACAAAGTATAGCTCCATAACACTATAATTCACACCATGAAAATATGGGAGGGAGAATTTGATAGACAGATACGTAAACAAACCGAAATTCAGTTTAAATTTAGGAAAGGCATATTAACTAGAGATTAATTTTTATTATAAGTCAGCTGATAGATTAACTCTTTCTGAAATGATTGTTGGGTGGATCGAGTAGCTTAATAGTTGTTCTTGTCGGTCTCAAACCTAAATAAACTAGGAGGGTTAAGCGGAAGGCTAACAACCGGCTCTTGTAAAAAAAACAGTCTGTTATGAAAACTGCAAATGTTCCTCAGAATCAAACGCATACATATGGAAAACAAAAATCGCAACGACAAGGACTGTAAATGTTGTAACGTGGAAAGTTGTAAGTTGGTACTGGACAGGAGCATCCATACACATTGCTAAGCTTTGTGCCCTCCAATATAAAATTGGCAGGACCCTGGTCTTCCTGGCCTTTCGGCATACGACCTTTAGCGGACCCACTGCCCCTACGAGTCCGACACCTACTAAGGTGGCACGATACCGAAGTATCGTGGGTCTCCACCTTACCCGTAGTACCTGTGTTGCGGATACGTCACCCCCGGAACTATCCCCTCCCCCGGGGCGGAAAGGCGACGCAAGCAAAAGAATTCCACCTCTTACGTAGACAGGTCACCGCCGAGAAATCGCTCCTCTACCACTCCTTAATCATTCCAGGTGGTACGTGCCGGGTCACCACACCACCCTCGGTGGTGTAAGGCCGTGGGAGGTATTTACGGTCCCAGCTCGTTCAACCTCACCTGGCTCTTGTGAAAATGAGAGTAGAGTGGTCTCACGAGATGCTCGTCTCGGATATCAGGAATGTGGACCGGTGACCGAGATGGCTATGCATCTCGAGTGCGTTTCCACAAACCCGACACCTCGAACGACGGCTCTCCACCTCTCATTTCTCGCCCATTAGTCACCTCTTACGACAGGCAGGGTCTTCTGGCCTCGGTCGTATTCTTATCTCCGCGAGACGAACGGAGAGCATCCATACACAGTAGAAAAAGTAGAAATGGACATTACAGCAATACAAGAGCTAAGGCTATAGCGAGTAGACACTGCGAACATAAGAATAGATAAGGCAGTAAGTTTATTCAGTGAAAACCAGACAGGACAACACGAATTCAGCACAGGTTCCGTGGTCCGAGAAAAACACTTAAATAGTCAAGTCTTAGTCAAGACTATGTTATATTAGACTGAAAGAAAATGATACAATATCTTAATTATATGCAAACATGCTACGACAGAAATAAAGATTAAAATTGCAAATGCAAAACAAGAAATGCAAATATCTGTGAGACTTCAACGCATAAATTGGTAAAAAACCTAATCTGAGATTGACAATAGAACACAGTCTCCAAAACATCTCAAGCAAACATGAAGATATACTCGTAGAGCATCGGCTAACAATATGCTTGTAAAGTCTACCAAGTTCCAACATAAAAACATTCATAAATAGACTTGGGTCTCTAATGACAACTCCACATGAAACCAAGTTAACCACGTAATTGTTAAAGTTTTACATTGAAATAATGTTCTGGATTAAGATGCTTAAAGGGAGTAAATGGAGATACAGACCATTACCTAGTAAAAGCAAAAATCAGGTTGAGAATATCAAACAGAAACTTCAAACGAACAAAGTATTGGGACAGTGGAATATAAATAGAATGAAAACTAAGGAAATTGGATAAAATGACGTCCAGGAAATAAAATAAAAACTATAAGTACAGTAGACCATAGCAATGATATCGAACGACTGTGACAACAAATAGAAAAATCAATCACAGAGACAGTGAAACTAATAATAGAAAAAAGCAGGACAATAACAAGGAAATGATTTAGTAAAGAATGCCAATAAAAACTTAAAGACAGACAAAAAAAAACGAAATATTATACTTCAACCAGAAATAACAAATGTAAAGGAACCTATACAACATCACGACGAGAAACAAAAAAACTAACTGGGAGAAAAAAGAAAATATGATTAATAGCCAAATGAAATAACGAAAAGGAATAGACAACAGTCAAATAGACGAGCATTTTACAAGTCAGTGTCAAACGATAAGAGAGGATTCAGACCTAATTGCTGTAATAGGAGTTTTTTCAAACATGGCAAAAATATTTTAAAAATTCACTTAACATACATTAAGAGGAAAAACATAGAGCGGATATATACCTTCGGGTTGACCTGCCGAGAGATGACTTAAGAATAGACCAAACATTACAAGCAATTAACAAATAAAGAACGCAAAAGCTGTAGGTTCCAACAATATACCTAGTGAATTCCTTAGGAACGGAGCAGAAACTTTACGTTAACAATTACACAAACTAATAACACTTATATGGAATAAAGAAGAGCAAATACTAACAAAATGGCTCGAAAGTGTAATAATCTTAATCCATTAAAAAAGACAAACCAAGTATTCTAATTACAAAGGCATCATCCTACTTAATACGGTGCAAAAAAGCTTATCAAACATCTTACTAAGTAGACTAACACACTTTGTAAAAAATTTCATAGGAGCAAAAATTTAGAAAAATTCAGATTCAGTCGGATTGAACAAAAAAGATCGACCATAGATCATATTTTTACTCTAGGTAGCTGCTGGTAAAAAAAGGTTGAAAATTCAATGGAACTATCCATAATCTCTTTATAGATTTCCGACAAGCATACGATAGTATCAAAGGAATCAGATGTGAAGTGCAATGCAACTTTGAGTTCCAAAAAAACTTATCCATTATATTAAAATACATTACAAAAGGAACGAGATAGAATAGGATAAAATATAACCATAGACCCATAGAACTTTAAAGTGTGGGGAATTTTAAGTATCTCGGAGCGACAGTCATCGCAAATAACGATATTAAGGAAGAGCTAAGAGGAAGAATTCATACAGCAAACAGATGAATGTAGAGACTTCAAAACACTATTTAATCCAAGAGCCTTACACTAATATCAAAAAGTAGAATATATAAAACAGTCATTAGACCGGATCTCATATATGGGTTCGAGACGTAGAAGCTGACAAAAGCAATGAAGAGAAAACTTTTTCAGAAGTTTTCCTCAGAAGAATCTTTGAACCTTCTTACGATCCGACTACTAACCAATACCGAGTGAGAAAAAATACCGTGGTCAAACAGATGTATAAGTCTCGAAATGTATTTCAATAGATTAAATACCAATGTCTGGCAAGATGGGCTGGCAATGTTTGCAGACTTCCTAATAACCGCTTTACCAAGTTAATATGAGAGGAAGCCCTGAAATGGAAAAAGAAGAATGTCCGCGAATGCGATGAAGAGATAACATATGATCAGATTTAAGAACAATGGGGCTACCCACTGACCCAACTATCATGTATGATCTTTCGAGATGGAAGCAAGTTATCGGCCAACATCCACCCCGGGTTATAGTGCTACGAGAGAGAGAAGAAGCAGCTGATATATCATAAAGTATTCTTTGATTTTGGGAAAGCATATGATTTAATTTCTCAGGAGGTTAAGCGTTTTTTGTCCCAGAAAGAAACAAAAAAATTTGTCCTCGGTGAGAATGTAAAAATTGTTAGAGATATTTATCTGGTGAGGTGGTAAAAACTAGTATTAAGAGATGAGTAAATGAGACTTTTAAGTTTAATGTGGAAGTGGTATTGTGACAGGACTTATTGCTTGGTTCTTATTTATTCTCAGTTGTGTTAATTCAGATAACATGACGACTAAAGGGTAACATTTCCTTGTTCTGGTTGAATACTGATGATATACTGTTAATATAAATTTTATATTTTATACTTATATTATAAAATACTAGAAGAAATTTAAAGCTAATACTAGAACCGTTGGAGACAAGCTTTGGAAAAAAACACATTAAACTTAGACGAGAAAATACAGAGTATCTCGAATATTTACTTAAAGGTGTGGTTACTAATATAAGAAAGATGATTTCGTAGGATGGTGTAAGGTTAAAGCCGATGAAATAAAAGTAGGCAAGTGGTGTGTGAGAAAAATGTCACTAAAACTAACAGAAAAATTCTACAAAACAATCATTAGATCACCTATGATGTATGGAACTGAATATTGGGTAGTTAAAACCAAAGAAAAATATTAAATGTACTTGGTGTATATAAGTAAGATGAGATGGATGATTGGAGATATATGGAGTGGATAGGGAAAAAAATCAAATTAATAATTTATACATTAGACTTACTTTGGAGATGACATTTTATGCTTAAATAAGAAAGCATTTTTAGCAAGCAAAGTCAAAATTATTTAACTTTAAAATAAATACTACTTAATACAAAAAATTTCAGAGTAATTTAAAAGCTCTTGAAGCAGTAGGACAAGCAGATCAGAGAAGACTTAATTAGAATATGTTTTTTTAAAACAATTGATATTAATATAATTTAAGATACTTTATATAAAATTGTATAGTGAAGCTATCTGTGAACAAGCACTCGAGGAAGAAGATCTTGGTCTGATAATAAATGGTGAGACGATCAACAATATAAGGTATGCTGACGATACAGTTCTCCTAACGGGAACGCTAGTAGAACTACAACATCTCGTTCAAAGTCTCAATATATACTGTAACAGTTACGGCTTGAAAATTAATTTGAAAAAAACTAAATTTATGGTAATCACGAAATCAAAGAACATCAGAGCTAATCTTGTAATAGACAATAAAACGATTGAGCGTGTGCCCTGTTATAAATATCTAGGTGCTTGGATCACAGACGATACTGATCAAACAAAAGAGATTAGAAGTAGAATAGAAATCGCTAGATCAGTCTTTAATAGAATGCGCAAACTCTTTTGCAATCGTGATATCAATATAAAGTTACGAATACGAATGCTGCGGTGTTATGTCTTTTCTACCCTGTTATATAGAGTTGAGGCTTGGACACTAAAACAGTTGACCATAAAAAACATCGAAGCTTTCGAGATGTGGTGCTATAGGCGCATTCTCAGAATATCATGGATGGACCGCGTCACTAATACGCAAGTACTCCAAACTTTAGACAAAAGATGCGAAATTCTAAATGAGATAAAAACTAGAAAGATGGAATACTTGGGGCACATTGTGAGAGGTGAAAAGTACGAACTTTTAAGAAACATCATGCAGGGCAAAATTAAGGGCAAAAGAAGTGTGGGAAGAAGAAAAATATCGTGGCTTCGTAATCTACGTGAATGGTTCGGGTGTAGTTCGATTGAACTTTTAGGCGCGCTGCTAACAAAGTCGCAGTGGCCATGATGATTTCCAATCTCCGCTAGGAGTGGCACGAGAAGAAGAAGAATATAAAATGGATTTAAAGATAAAAAACAACAACGTTGATAACTATTACCGTAGTCATAGTTCCAAATAAAATAATGATAATCATAATTATCTAAGATACAAAACTGTATTACTTATTAAGTAGTGTATTTTTTTATTTCTTTTCTTATCAAGTGGAAAATAATTACCATCGCATGTTTGTCTTCATTAACCTCTAAACCAAAATGTATATGTTTTCTTAGATCTTTGTTTTTGTGTCTTGTTTTTTGGTTCCTCTTTTTATAGCTAATAATGCTATAACTGGTTATAACCACCTTCTGGTTTGATATTTTTTGTTCTTTTTGAAAGCATTTATTTATGATTTGTACATTCCACGTATCAATTCTCAGAATCTGTTTTGTAATCGAAAGTTAGGTTCGTTTATTTTTAAGGTTCAATTATTACTGTTTGATTTTTGGGGCTTGACTCTAAATAAAGTTTTAAAGAAGATGTGCTGCAAATACATCGCTACAACCCTTAATCTCAAGGGTCAGAATTTTTCGTTAGGATATATTCTTTTAGCTGATATGTTTCAGTTTTAGTACAGTAGAAAATCGTTGTTTATGGTCTCCCATGTACTACATGGCATATACCCACTTTACGTCATACAGCTAGTAGTGACGTGACACATTGTGTCTTCAAAGATGTAAAAGTAGTTTTATGCCTAGCCGACCTAACTTATATTTCTAACACAGCCAACAAATTTGTTAGGATCCAATGGAAACTTTAATTAAAATAGGAACACTTCTCCTGGCGACAAGACTCTTTACTAGACTTTAAATACCTGCTGTTACACTTTTTTATAAAAAAAACAATTTATATAAAAAATTTAAACTTATTCTTCTGAAATATAGTCCTTAAACTCTTTTCTTATGCTATTTCTAAATTTCTAGTATAATTATGGAACCAAAACCATAAGTTTAGTTAAAAATACATTATAGTTGTCGTGTCTTGTACATCAAACTTAATATTTTCTTAGGTAGGGAAAGCCTCATTTTTTTATTAACACCTATGCTGTGTTTGTATACTGCTATCTGGTCACAAATGACCAATTATCAGTTATTTTCTGACCTAACTTAATAAACAGCAAATACTTAAATCTAAGGGCTTAACCTATGGCTTACTCTTATTTTATCTATCAACTAATGCACTACAACTAACATGCAATAACTTCACAGCACTATACTCTGCTTTTTACACTAAACTGTTACACATTTACACTAACTCAAATGGTTTTGTCCTTATGAGTCTTCTCTTTAGTTCAGTGTTGTCAAGAAGCTGGATTGCCTCGACATTCACATGACTATGCAGCCTCTGCTCGTGACTTGCTGCTGTTCTCTTGATTATTTCGATCACAGTTTCCATACCCAGGTCCTGATGGAGGTTGCTGTTACGGATATACCAAGGAGCATCAACAATGTTTCTCAGTACTTTGTTTTGAAATCTCTGGATAATATGTAGATTACTAGCTTTGGTACAGCCCCAGAGTTGGCACCCATATACCCATACTGGCCTCAGTACTTGCTTGTAGATGGATAATTTATTATGAATTGATAATGTTGAATTTTTTCCAATCAGCCAATACAATTTCTTATATCTAATATCAAGCTCCCCTCTTTTCTTTTTGACATGGACTTTCCAGCGCAGCTTCGCGTCTAGGGTGATGCCCAAGTATTTTGCTGATGTTGCATAGATTCGGGTATCATTTATTCTAACTGGGAAATTTTCTATTTTTTTATTTGTAAAGTTAATGTGTGCAGATTTAGTCCTATTTAATTTTATTCGCCATTTTCTGGTCCAGTTATGTATTTTATTTACTGATAGTTGCAACTTATCAGTCGCTTCTTCACTAGTGTCTCCTATCGCTAGTATGGCTGTATCATCCGCGAAGGTGGCAATAGTATTTTGTTCTAGCTCTGGAATGTCACACGTATACAATAGGTACAGGACCGGACCTAAGACACTCCCTTGTGGCACGCCAGCTTTGATCTCCCTTAAGTCGGTGTACACTTCTTCTTGTTTTACTCTGAAATATCTATTCGCAATGTATGATTTCAAG